GTATGTAGACAGGACTGGAACAGGATTATGGTGAAATAATTGTACAAGGTTTTAGGATTTTAATTTGACATGTGTAGTTTAGTAATCTATCAATCTTGTCTCATCTCCCATATTTTTGTTCCACCAATTTTGGTGCGACAAAAAAATGCATTTCTCTCCCACTAAATCTTTTTTGTGTCCCAGTCTAAATGTCACATTAAACGTGGGACAACAAGCTTTTGTATTGTCGTGTCCTGTCCTCGGTACCAAGCGCACCCTAAAACCACTCAACAACAACGAAATCAATTACCCATAAACCATGTGGGGAATCAGATCAAGACGGCTTGTGGTTGAATCGGCAATTGGATCAAACCGATCCTAAGGTAAATTCATGACAAAAAACATCCAGTTAGTAGACTCGCAGACATACAACATTCAATCAAACTTCAGATCCCAATTGATAATTGTATATGTTATACAAGAAAAAGGAAAACAAGTAACGGTTACTCACATGGAAAATAGCAACAGCCTTAGATAGCAATACTCTTGTTGCATCAGAAGCCATTTTACCACACAAAAGCCTCCATCTAATGTCAAGCTCGGCACTGGGTTCTAATCCTTGTTCTGCCTGCTTCTTCTTTATACCACCCATCATAGTGTCTGGAAGCATTCTCTCTCCACCAGCCACCAGGTTCTCCAAAGATGTATGAATATTATTGCAATCCACACAACAAAACCAATCCCCTTTGGGCAATGCCTGCAACAGATATCATGTCATGACACAAAGCACACCAATAAGTAAACAGAAAAGTTCGAGGTAGTAAAGGTAAAGAATACTAAATACTGATTTTAGATCACAAAAATGTACATATGTAAAGATTGATATGGGAAGTATAAAACATGTATATAACCAAAAACAATTGATGCACCTTAAGGTTGTCCATTTTATGCTCCTTCAAACAGCCAACATGGTACTCTTTCTCGCACTGTAATGAAAACCAAACAATTGTTATAAATCAATCGGCATGCAGAAGCAACATATGACATTTTCACTTATGAATGAACTATTACAAAGTTTAAAAGCACCTGATCGCATATGATGACAGTTCTCGGGCCGAATCCAGACTTGCTAAAATCATGTGCCCTGAGGATGTCAAGAATATATATGAACGGTGAATAAAGGGTACACATTTATTCCTCAGGGATCTAAGTTATCCAAAATGGTGAAGCATCCTACCCTAGAAATGTAAAATAAAATCAATTATAATAATAGAACTGCACAATACAAAAACCATTAAGTAAATTCATAGGTTAACTTTCGGGAGCAAAGCATACCCAAAAAAGAGTTGCAAGTGTTCCCGTGATTCAGGCCAATGATGACGTAACACATCGCATAGAGACGAGTGGTTAAAGTGAAGGGGTGCCACGGGAGTGCTGTTTGATAAGAAAGTCCTACTAAAAACGAAGAGTAATTTCTACAATGTAGTCATCATTCCAACTACATTGTATGGATCTAAGTATTGAAAAAAAGGAAGGCACATCAAAGAAAGTTGGAAGTTGCAGAAATAGGAATGTTGTAAAGGCATGTCGGACAGGATACATGATAACGAACGAGGTCTTCTGGGCAAAGTTGGGAGTTGCACATATCATGGATAAATCGAGAGAAGGAAGAATGTGATGGTTTGGAGACGTTCACAAGCGCCGGATGACAACACCAATGAGCAGAGATAAAATGTGACAATTGAGGGGGTAAGGAAAAGAGACAGGCCAAGGAGTACCTGTAATGAGTAGCTGAATATAGATGTAATAGCCTCACACATCTTCAAGGGCATGACTAGTTCATGGACATGCAGAAGTAGAGTAGCAGACTATACATATAGACTTGTAGATGATATGGACAAGAGAAGGGAGATGTAGAGGTAGAGGAGAAGAGTTAGGGAGCAGACAGACAGGTTACCAAAGTATTATGGTAAATAGAGAAATGTTTAGTACTTTATACTTTTTTTGTGTTTTCTTGCACCTACATGCAATGACTTTTTTCCTTACTATTCACTTTTCTTAGTTCTCTTTTCAGAAACTCCTCACAATTGACCAAATTTGTCTCGAGTCATCCTTCACTTTTCAAACTTTTGACAAACCCTCTATAGCACTCAAGTGCTCCTGCAAATATATTTTAGCAAGCCGGGGGTCTTCATAGAAACAGCCACTCTACTCCTCCTTAGTGTAGAAAAGAAAACTGCATCCATCCCAACCCCCTCCCCCAATACCCTACTTCCAAGTGAAATATGTTGGGCTTATTTTGTCTGGTTTGGTATGGCATCCAAGCAAATATATTTAAGGAGGAACTAGAGAAAGTCCCAGGTTTCCATAGTCTCTTCTCAAATCTCACAGGCCCTCAACTTCTCGCTTCTTAGTCAGTTCCATATTTTCAATGTGTATTAGCTTTCCAGCCTCTACCCCGCCCCACCCAAAAAAAAGAGAAAGGTCCTCGTTGTCCGTGAAAAAGAGATTGTGAAGAGGTGCCAAGTTTCAGACATATGCATATGTATTTCACCAGAAACCAGCTTGGCAATATTTACTAAACTATGCATTGCTTTATACTTAATTTTCTTTGTTTCCAAAACCTTCATCAACATTGTTTGAAACACAGGGATACCATAACATCTTATTCAAACATGAGATAGCATTAATGGAATGCATAAAAGTTAGGCAGCACTAGAAGGCCTTTAGGCATCCGTATCATGAACACATTGTCAAGATATGAAACAGAATAATGGGGTCTCCTGGACAGAGTACACATTGATATATGAGTAAGATTTAACCCCAGTTAACAAGGATGCAAAAAAAGTTGCTCAAACAAGAAAAGAATCCACACATTCATTTGTCAATTGATAATTCATATATAGTTCTGTGCAGGTGAAAGGAAAATACAGATACATACCTGCACAGAACACATGCTGGAGCTCCTTTTTTAGCTGGAACTCCCGACTCTCCCAACTCTGAATTTTCAACAACACGAATGCACCGCTTAGTTATGTCTTCAATGGGATCAATACCTGCAATCCTTCCAGCAGCACGTGCATTTTCGTTTCTTTCTACAAACTTTTCCTTCTGGAACATATTCTGGCAGTATTTGCAATACCATGTACCGTGGGGGACAGGCTCTGAGATGCATTCTGCAGTTTGGCAAACGAATTACGCATATGAGCAACTCAAAAAGTCCTGCATTTTAGCCATTTCCAAACATTGAATTTAAGAAAAAGCATTGCATAAACCAAATTTGCAACAACATAGACCTACCAACAGACGCTGGAAAGTGGTTATTCTAGGAGAATATTAGTACCGAAGGTAAAAGTGAGTGGGTGTTTGGTTAGAGATATTAAGCATTAATTAATGAGATTGAAAATAAAAAACTGTTTGGTTTTATATTACTATAATGTTCCAATTCTCCATAAGCCCAAATTTTCATCCCATGTTAATCGGGGGCGCAGGGGAGTAAAATTCATTCCCTGTCATTTTCATTTTCATTCCCATTTTCTTCCCCTGCCTGAACCAAACAGCCCCTAATGTTAAAAGATAAATTTTAGAAGTAAACTTTTGATATCGTTACATGTATACGATTTGGCTATCACAACCTACAGATGCTAGATTAGAGGCGTGTAGTTTCTTTACCCTGGCTATTATTTCTTGCACTTGCTTCTATTTGTATCTAGCTTTTCAAAATTTATCTTATCTGTCTCTCTTTTAACACTTTTCACAAGCCGGTGTTCTTCACAAAATCAGTCACTCTACTCTTTGGGGAGAGGTCAGGTTTGTGTACATTACACCCCCCATCCAACCCCACCTCGGGATGGAACATACCAGGTTCGTTTGGTAACCTACAGATGCTGAAAAGTACAACAATTTTAAATTGACTTTCCATGTATGCACAAGGTTCAGCCTAAGCTGAAGAATGCCTACTCTTTATTCAAGACAAGAGGACATCAGCATTCAACTCATACAAGCATATATAGATGTTAAAGAAAACATGGTTCAAGCTAGAATCCACAATTGCCAACTTAGACAAAATGTAGGAAACACAAGGCAGACATCACTTGAAGACAGCGATTCAAGAAAAAACCAAAAAATAAAGCAAAGTCAAGAAAATCTCACCAGGGTGAAAAGCTCTTGGGCAATTATCACAACACAAAAGTTCCCCCCCATCTGCACAGATGGAGCAGAGATCGTCATTATCATCTGCGCAGAACTTCCGATGTTGTGAGAGTTTTATTGACAGCTCATGGAGAGAGACACCATTGGATGTGTATATGTGTAAATAACTGCCACAAAAAAATTATAGGTTCCAGGATTCACTTAGATGAAGAATAAAAGAACATTGCTGAATCATGAAACTGGTGAACATGGCATCTCATTCCCAAATTCCTGACCATACAGACTCCACAAATATCTTCTCATTTAATCGAGTCATTGGTAAATCAACAATAAAATTATATAGCAGGAACTCTTCAACACGGTGATTGGGTATAAAAGCTAAGATCAATGTAACCATTGAACCAAAAAAAATACACAAATCTCCTGATAAGTTGAAGGGAAAACTCACGGTTTGCGACGTGATGCCCAGCCAGCATGAGCTTCAAATTGTGAAGGACTGACCTGATCAAGAAGCAAACAAACTCAGTATCCAAATCCCCAACCATAAGTTTTCCAAATAAAATTGCACCATGTACCTCACTGTTACAGCAATAGCAGAAGATTCCAGAACCTTTTTTATAACCCTCCAACAGTTTCTGCCGACCGCCGCAAAAATCAATTTATCAAGAAATTTAAAATTATGAACCACAAAAAAGAAAAAAGTGACATTTAGCATGTACACACAGAAAATTGGGACGGAAAAAGAAAGCAAGACCCAATACAAACAACTACCTCCCCGCGAGCAAAATAAGCTAGTGCGGTTCCATCGGCTAGCACATCTTCCTTGAATACCAGCTTGTGCATCCGCAGATCTCTGCATATAACAAATGGTAAAACAACATTATTTTCCAAAAATTTGTAGAAGCTGGTTCAGCAGAACTCAAAATTTCTAGAAACTGAAACACCAACATATCAATCAGATAGAACGCAACACAATAAAGTACTAACTTTCTAGTAAGCCTTCCCTGGCCCTTGCTTCGGCCAGAACTACTAGTGGCTACTCGGGCAGTAGAATTTGGAGCAGATACTGGAGACGCTGACCTGAAAGTATATACATTAATGAAAATTAAGTAAAAACAAGAATCAGAGTATTTGGCTATGTGCTAGACTAGATACAGAGAAGAACAACCAGATACAGTAAATTAAAACCAAAAAATAAAACCATTCACAGAATCATTTCGCAGACTTTACAGAACGATCGATCCTACCAGTATTTGCAAAGTTCACCTAATATCCCAGACTCCCTGAGTTCATATTAGCTTCAGATGTCAAATGAAAAAAAAAAGGATTGTATATATGAGCATGCAAGTTTGTCAACAACATCAATGATAAAATACCAATTTGATGATTGCTTGCAGCTTAGAATAATGTTAGGTTATAGACTTTTTGTCATATTTGATATTTTCTCTTGCTTTTATTCTAAAATGATGCGCATAAAGAGATCGTCCAATTGAAAGAGCTACAGATAACATCAATCAAATGAAGAAGATATGTGCAACATTGTTTTCTTATAATGGCCTATGACTATGCACTCAGAAGGCAAGCAAAAAGGTGGCCAAGCTGAGTATAAATATTTCATAGATTTTCTCAGCACAACTAATGCAGAACAAAAATGATTATTCAGCAAATATTTGTTCTTTAGAGATACATCCTCTGCAAAACACTGAGCTAACAGATTAACTGAAGCAACTAATATTTAAAAAATTGTTCTCGGAGATTGTTACAATTAGTTAACAATTATGCTGTTATAGAAGCAAATACCTGTCACTACTATCATTAGGTCGCACAGGACTAGAATGGGACTGGAGCCGGGGATGAAGCTGAGACTCTTTTATAGCCATGCATGAATCACACAAAAGCATTGTCTTCCCATTGCCTGATTCGGGTATGGACCCTACGAAACATCAAAGATAAGGAGTTATGAGATAATACAATATAACATGCAAGTCCAAAACCATCTAGCAGAACATATATAACTCACCTTTGCAATTCAAACAAAATGTAGGTTTCTCTTCCGATGAACAACCAATTGCTTTTAAAATGGTTTCTTCCATTCCCTCCAACGGAGCAGTTTTACAGGTGTTAAGTACCTCTCTTAGGGTGGCACCATTACCCAAGTAAATGTATTCTGGTGGCCGCTTATTTGCACTTCCAGCATGCAACTCGAACTGATTGGGAGTGACAACCTAAATTTACCAATATTACTAATCAGCAATTCAGCATCCAATAAATCTCTCTGGTTAAAAGTAAGCATATACAACTACAGGTAACAAACTCACTTCCTTTCCACCGCACGTTTCACAGAAACACAAAATTCCAGATCCTCTGATTACCCCTGGAAGACCCTTCTCGGAATTCCCTCTAACCTGATCAACAGTAAACTTGATAAGCCCCAAGGCAACGCCAACAAAAAGGCTAAATTAGAACAGAAGAGCCTTAATTTTCAGTTCGAAAATGTGAATGTATACCTTTGCGCCACGAACATACCTAACAGGTAATCCCTCGAGCAAACCAGTTTCAAGAAGCTCCTTCAACTTGGTTGGAAATCTCTTCAGCACAATTTTTTTTGACATTTTTATTTCCATCTTTTTGTCATTTTTACCATTGGATGGAGTGACGACAGAGCTGATTACATCCCCATCCTTGTCTGCAATTTTGTCATCCTGGTTGTCATTTAACTTCGCCGGCTTCAAATCAGAAGTAATCTGCGTAGACTTTACTGGGGCATCCATTGGCTCTGATTTTACTTCGCTCATTGGTTCAATAACCGCTCGACCGGGGTCGACAACATCGCTTTTGGATTCTTCCTCGTCTGTATTCGAAATTGATTCTGCCAATACTTTTTCTGAACAAACATCGAGTTTTTCCTCTGTTTCTTTACCTAGATCGGCAGTTTTTGATTTCTTATGGATAGGTGAAGGCTCCGGTAACATCTGGGCCCTCCTGGCTCGCGTCCGACCGCAGAATCCATAATTTTCCGATTGGGATTTCATGGCGAATACAAATTCGCGTTTCAAACCAGGACGAATCGAAGATAACACCACGTATTCTTCACCGTCTGTTCCGTTTGCCATTGTAACTGACAATAATTACACAATTTTTAAGAATAGAAATAGCAAATCTTTCGGAGAGATTTGTTTTACAGCTGTATTCACAGCGTAAACCCTAGAATTGTCGATTAAAGGCTAGAAACACCGATTTCTTGGGAAGAATCGAAGAACACGAAATCCTATTTTTGGTATTTGAGATTTTAGATTTTGATTCCGATTTTTAATTTTGAAAGGGTTTCTGGGTAGATAGAAAGGGGATTGAGGCGAGCAGGAAGGGGAGATAGATGGTTGCATGCTTCATACGCCCCATGGGTTGGAACTTTGAAGTAAGAAACCCCACCAGAAACTTCTTCCAATGACGATATTACCCCTTTTTTTCTTTTTCAGTCCTCCCAAATTTGGTTTTTTTTCATTCCGGCCCCTCAGTTTCATTTTAAGCCGAGTTCAGTCCCTCTCTGTTTTTTGCTTTTGAAATGAACCAAAAGGTTATATCCATATGTTGACCATTTCATGGTTCGTTTGTAGATGTCATTTTATTAATTCATCCAACAAATAATTAAAAACATAAAATTTAAACTCGTTACATATTTATTATTAGCTATCAACTTACAGAATCTAACGAAATTTAGTATTCAATCTCAACGTTTAGTCTATACTTTTAAACTATTTAGTAATCTTCATCTATTACAGTATTTGTCCTTGATGTATGCAAGATCGAACGTTTTGGTCCCTTCTAGTAGTTGTCGTTATCTTTTTCTGCTAGAGTCAATTAAATGAGGGATATTATGGTCATTTTACTCGTTCCCACATTTTTATATTTAAAAAGTGTATCCATGTAATATGTAAGAGAGTTGGGTTTCCATGAACAACTGTCGTTTTTTTCATGAATAATGTGAAACTATAACTTCCACATAATGTATATGCCTATATTGTATGCAAGCGAGTTAAGGTGGTATTCACATAAACTGGTCAAGATATGCATTAAGATCCTGTAACATTTACCACTTCATACTAAAATATTTTCTCATATGGTCTTAATTCTTACATAATATATATAGATGGTTTACTTTACAACCTATTACATTTGTACAACCAATGCAACTTCATCTTAACCATGAGTTAGTTCATATATGTTTAGCATTTAATGGTGCATAATATAGTATGAACCACAAGAAAACCTTAAACACGGTGGTGGTTACTTTGATTGTCCATAGGGACAACCTGAGCTATGTAAATATATTCATAAGAGAGATTACGAACTACGTGGACAATCTTATAGATGGTGGTGGTGAGTTTGATTATCCACAAGGACAATCTCACCCAAATGAACTTCATATGCAGAGCAAACATTTCCGCCTATCTACTCGTGTGATAGTTTTTTTGCTTTTTAGAAGTTTGTTCTCGTGTATGTGAACAACCACCCTCTAAGAACGGTGGTTGCAGTTATTGAGAGAGGGAGGTTGCAGGTGGTCGATTGAGGTGGGGTAACAACGAGGAGGAAGAAAGGGCAGGGAGAAAAAGACACATATGCATATAGGGTTGGGTTCAGGAGAAAACTCAACATAAATGAAAAACTACTAAAAAAATGGATGAAAAAATATATCAACATAGATGTCAAATTAACAAGAAAATAATGATCGATTTTTTGTGTGATTTATTTCGCTTGAATTTTGTTTATTTTTCATTTTATTTATTTTTCTGTTTATTTTGGATTTGTAACAAATAAATATTAATAACGCATTTCATAACAAATGAACAGTTCATAGACCAAATCTAAAATTACTCTTAGAATAAGCATCTCCAATGCAAATACAATCATAAGAATGGGACATTTTTGTCCTCGAGGATAGTCATATTGTTGTGGAAAAATACAGTGTGGCGCACGGGCACTTTAGTCTTTACATCATTATCGAATACGTGGCTTTTACTTCATTATTTTATATGTTTTCTCCCTTTATTTACTCTAGTTTCCATGAAAATGTTCGAGAGACCCGGACGGAGTGTTTCGCGCCTCAATGCAAATGCGCTGTCACCTCCACCAACTAGTCGCCACGTGGCATGACAAGTGCAACTTGGGTGTCACACTGACCAATAGCAGGATACCTTTTTCTTTCAAAGCATATCTGATGAAACTTCGTGAGAACCTCTTTTGTATTTTATTTTTTAAAATTTGAGGTTATTTGAAAATTTCTGAATGGTTTGGTGAAAAATGATTAAGTGATTGAATGATTAAAAGGTTCTCATGATATAATACAAAATGAAATATAATGTTTGATAATTGTTTACAATGAAATTAGGAATGGTTAAGGGAGACTTATGATACAAAATCATTAAGAGGGTTTAGAACCATTAAAAGACAGATTTTTCTTGCCGAACAAAATTAACCTTTTAACGATTCAGATGTTACATCTTAATGAAACTATTAAGAGGTTACAAACAACCCCTAAAAACTCTTTTTAGTTTTTATAAGAACCTCTGAGTCACATTGATTCCTTTAACATCAGTAGTTAGGGTCGGGTTCATGTGAGACCAAGAGTTTTTTCGTGAAACCCGTAAGATCAATTTATGTTCATTGATCAACTTTATAAGCTAATGATCTGGTATAAAGTTGCACGGTGGATTTTTGTGATAATTGAAAAGTCTCGTAGCAATTTTGTTATTATGAATGTTCAAATTGTATATATATAATCCAAATGGTTGAGAATTAATCTTACGGGTCTCACGAAAAACCATTGGTCTCACATGATCCAAAATCTCAATAGTTATTGTATTAATATATATTAATAATTATAAAGTTACGAAAAAAAAATAAGAAACATCTCAGACTCGGTCTCACAAACTTTATACTAAGAACCAAGATTCTTGTTCAAGCATCTAGAAGACATAAGGTTCTTATAGTAACCTCTTCACGATGGTAGTTCTTACAAACCACTTCACTTTTTGCTAATAAAAACCTATATCGAATATGCTATTGTTTTAATTTAATGGTTGTTTACCCGATCAATATAAGAGTTCACATTATTATTTATATTATCAAGTTATATTCCAGTTCATCAAGAAAACACTGTATGCAACATGTTATCCAGTAATAATTAATAGGTTAAGATTTGTCACCATCGCGTACCGGGTAAAATTCTTGATACTTGTCATCGCTCTTTTCAAATAAGATTTTTTATCCTTGTCATATTTATCTATTAAGATACATGATACATACAGGATAATCGTTTAATAAACGACTCATAAGCTGAAACACAAAATATATATTCACTGCCATTAAAATAATTATTTTACATTTAAATTATTATCCGGATAAAATCATAAATTTATTGTGTATTATTTATAACATGAAGCTAATAAATATAATATCACAGTGAAATTTATCCCAAACGGTTTTCAAAGCTCGATGAATTGCGCATTAAAACAATAAACACACAGTCAATAACTCAATATCACTGCCGACGGATTTGCAGCATCAATATCATTAAGCATACAATTGCCTTTACTTAATTAAAAAAAATGTAATAGTTACACATATTTAAAACCATGTGCAATTTTCATCGTGGGCATCTATTTTGAAACTAAGTATTTATTTGATATTAAATATGCGCCAGTCACTGTCTGTACAACTATTAAAACATGGCAACCCATTTTGTCAACTTTTTGTTGTTACCCCATAATATCCTTTCAAACTTAATTGAATTCATTTCGGCATGCAATCATGTATAAACTTTATTGTCATCAAACTTTGTTGGCAGTTCTTGCATGGTAGTTCATAGCCAATCGAACTGACCCAACCAACATCCAATTAACCACTCGATTACCATCCAATTATCCATCAAACCATCATCCATTTAGTTTGTTTGCAAGCTGCTTAAATCAAAATATGTATTGTGTTGGGTTTTTTTTTTATATTTTTTATCATCGTTTGTGTTGGTTTTAATACGTACTAAAAGTGATCAGTCAGTGTGTTTCATTGTTGAAAAATTGTATTTAATTAACATATTGGATGGATCTGATCCAATATGATCATCCATTTAATGTCGGATGGAATCGAATGGATCCAATTATCCATTGAATTGGATTGGATTAGTTGTTTAATGTTAATTGAGTTGTATCCGTTGACAAATTCAACATCCAATGGATGATTTGATCGGTTTGGTTCCCCTCACATCTAATGAATGTCAACTGATTAACATACCTATTAGGTGAAAATGAAACACAAAGGGGGGTATAAGTAAACTTTGTGTAAAATTAAGGGTTTAAGTGTAAAATAATTTTCAATGACGTAACAATTAAAAAAAAAAACTTTGAATGCTCCAACTATTTTGGTGGTGGCGGGAAAGTTTGCTCAAATGACACGTGAAATTACGAGGTTATTATATTTTGTTCCAAATTCGAATAGAAAAGAAAGAAGATTCTTTCGTTTTAAAAATATGTTATTTGAATATCTTTACTATATTATAAAACATATGATAAAAACTCTTAAAAATCATTTTTATGCATGAAGTATCGTATATTGATGTATATTATTTAAAATTCAAAATTACAAGTAAATTATGCATAATTACAACTTATTAAAACTCGATGTTTGAATTTGTGTAACTAACTGCAGATAAACATATCAAATAAAGGATAAACATCTCATTTTAAAATAAAAAAAATATAAATATAATTAGGATAATAATCGAGTTCTAACAAAATAAATAATTATTATATTTATAAGAAAATTATATTATTAAACCAAATATAAATTACTTCGTTATTGACCTTAAATTAAATTATAAAAAAAAAATTGAATTAAAAATTACACAAAAAATAAGGAATTTTAAATAGTTAATTTGATACTAATATCAATATATTTTTGTCAAATTTTTATGATATTTTCAAATTTATATTTTATTAAGAAATAAAAGCATGATCACTTTTTCAAAATCACATAAGACCATATTATAACATCGACTGGGATAAAAAATAAAATAGAATATTAAAAAATCAAGATGAATCTCGCTACATTGTACGAGTACCCTTCTAGTATTTTTTAATGATTCCCTCGTTGTCAGTTAAGTAATTATTTGTTTACCTTTAAATAGTTATACAATCTCTAAATCAAGGACGGATCCAGAAAATTTTATTACTGGGAGCAAACTTAGGGAGTTGGGGGTGTCAATTTTTTTTTTTTGAAAATGAATAACTCATCCGAACCAAGACGATTTTGGGTTATTCGGTTATCAGCTTAAATTGTTCAGTTTAATCAAATAAATATAACTTTTTTCCGTTTTTTGATTAATTTTTATTATTTCGGATAAACAGAGACATTGTACATATATTTTTTATTTATGTTCAACTTAAAACAGATAAATATAGTACACATTAATAGTCAATAGCAAAAAATTAGAATTAATTAGAAGAAATTTGAGAGCAAAAGACCAATATGCTAGAAATAAACGATAAACTAGTAGTAAACTCTATGTCAAAATAACAAACTCAAATTAAAGAACAAACTCAAGAACCTTAAATCAAATATCAAGAAATATAAATTTAATAATCAACAAATAACAATAATTATAAATATATAAAAAATAAAATGCAAAAAGAAAGTTGCAAAAAAAAATAAAAAAATAGTGATGGATCAAATTATTAGAATTATAGCAAATAAAACAAGACAAATAAAATGACTTTCAATGAGTTAAGACTTATAAATATGGACATTAGAGTTTAATTAATTCTTAAACTGTAATTCTCTAAAATGAAATAAAATGGAAGTTGTAAATGAAATGGTAGGAATTAGATTTGGGATTTTGTCTTTTAATTGTTGGTGGCCTATTTGTAATTTTAGGTTAAAAATATATTTAAAGCTACAAGTGATGCTCTTTCTTGTGGGTTTCTAGGTGATTTGTTGAGGGCCTATGCCCCCCTATGGCTATTAGCCATGTATCCGTTACTGTTCTGAATTATTAATAGGTGAATCTTGTTTGGAAAAAGAAAAATTTGTTTCTTAATAGTTCTAAAACCTTCTGCATGATTTTGTATCTTGAGCCTCCTTTAACGATTTAACGCTCTAATTTCGTTGTAAATCATTATCAAACATTTATATTTAATTTTGCACTATATCATAAGAGTCTGTTAATCATTCTAACCACTTAATCATTGTACACCAAACTATTCAATCTATGTCAAACAGTCCCTATGTGAGAATCATCGAGGAGTTGTCTAGCTTTTAAATTTAAGAAGATTAATTGAGATGCGTATAAATTAGTTTTAAAATCTACTGTTATTAAATATATATATATATATATATATATTTGTTGCATATGTGATGTTGTATTTTATTTTTCATTTTTAAATTTGCTAAAACTGTTTGCAATAAATACCAAGGGGGTGTTTAGTAAATGTTTACTGAGAAGAGTTTATGCTCTCACTTATTTTATCGAATAACATTCTCGGCTATCAAGATTGATTGTTAGTAAACGTCTTTTAAACGTTAAATGCTAATCAGGTAAGATTTTTTTTTTTTCTCATTTACCAGATAAAATTGTCATTTCTTACTATGCCTTTAATAGAATAAGATTTTTGGTATTTATCAGACCCGCTAAGTAAAATAATGACATATAAAAAAGAAGTTTAAGGACATGTTTTTTCTCCATTTTACCTTTTAATGACCACTTATCACTTGTTCAGTTAGATGTTTTTAAATCTAGACTGTTTTTTCCTTCCAAACCCTCTAATCTATTGAAACAATCCGAAAAAGTGGTAACCTAACCCCTCAATATCTCTTATTCGCTTATACGCCCGCCTCCATTTCTCTCAAACCAATCGATCTCGACCAAAATCGAGATCAAGCCAGTTGATCTCCCATCCATTTTTTGTTTTGATTTCGTCAATATCCCCTCTAGTTTCGGTGTTGATTTTGTCCATACGGTTCGACCCTGCGATGCTATCTTTATTATACATGAATTGATTTTTTTAATTCAACTATATAACATATTGAGGAACAAAATAGACAATTATACATATTCAAACGTTTGTCAGTTTACACAAACAAATAGTTTTATTGATTCAGACTTCAATATTCAAATCTCAGCAGCTCTTAAAAACAAACGCCACTTAAAAATATATAATCTCTTATTATTATAACTCAATCAAAAGTAGCATTTCTAATAAAACGTCAGAATTATCTTATACTATAAATATGTCGACAACAAGCAATAAAAAAACATATAACTACGAAAATACTATGCATATATTATTATAATTTTAAAACAATTTTTTATTTTTACTTGTCCAATAAAAATGTCTGATTAAAACATATAATTTACTTGAATTATAATGATACAACTGAAAAAGTATACTATTTTTCCTACAGAACAATATTTAAATCTACATTATTTCTTTCTATGGAAATTTGTTTGTATTCTTAATTTTTTTATCAAAGATATTCGAGATATTTAATAAAAAGTGATTTTATTTACAAACCCAACCATTAGTACAAACCGTTATCAACCAACTAAATGAGATATTTACGTAAATGATAAACGTTTATTTACTATAATATGGAAATTTATGAAAAATTATCAGAGTTCATGATCAATGATTTATATTAGAAGACCATCAAGATATTCACTGAATCAAATATTAATTATACTAAAGAAACGTTTGACTAATTTATATAATATATACTATATTATAAAACATTTGACAAAAAACTCTTAAAAACCATTTTTATACATGAAATACTGTTTATTGATGCATATTACTTAAAATTTAATATTACAAGTAAATTATGCGTAAGTACAACTTATTGAAGCTTCATGTATGAATTCATGTAACTAACTACATATAAACATTTCATTTTAAATATAAAAAATCTAAAATATAATTAAGATAATTATTGAGTTCTAACAAAATATTTGATTATTATCTTTATAAAAAATATATTATTAAACCAAAAATAAAAAAATTATTAAAGAAATATAAAAAAAAAACTTTAAATAGTTACTTTGGTACTAATATCAATATGTTTTTTTTTTCATTTTTATGATATATCTTCATATTTATATTTTCTTCAAAAATAATTTATCGTTATTCTCAAAACCACATAAAACTGTATCATAACATCGACTAAGAGCAAAAAATAAAACATTAAAATCAAGATCTATTTCGTTGAATTGTGCGAGTATCATTGTAGTTTATATTAATAGCTGCGTTTGAAAATGAAACCATCTCTATTCAATAAATACTAGTTTTAACAAACTATTGGGCCAACTGCCACTTGGACTCATATTTACATGGGCCTTTAATAGAAGCCCAAAGCCAGCTTAGAGACATTTTTTGGGCTTAAGCCTTAGACCAACACCAACCACATGAAAACCAGGAATTAATTAATTAATTAATTGATTTATTAACAATCACTAAAAAAACATTTTCACTTTATATTTTGACACCCAGTTGATTACCGGCAATCCCAACAGGTCTCATACGAAATTCATCTCAAAAGACACCAATGTGAGGTGGCACTTTTTGCCTTACTCAGTGGTTGAGGCTAGTGGGAGACCTGATATCGAACCTATTTCTTGTCTTGTATTTGAACAAAATCTCCACTGATTTATCAAATGAGCTACATGTCAGTAATCAACAGCTAAAATTTAAAAACCTGTTACATTTAAAAAAAAATAATAATAAAGAAATTCAAATTTTGAAGGCTTTTTTTGGAAACCTTGAAGATGAAGAAAGGATCCACAAAAGATGCAATCTCCAAACATCAATAAAAGGATCACTTGATTATTCCTCCTCCTTCCTCCATCTTCAAGTTAAGCATCATTTGTAGCATTTCTTTTTCCATCTCCTTTTCTTAATTCATCAATCACTCCCCTCAAAGTCTATACTGTATTATAAAACATTTGACAAAAAACTCTTAAAAACATGACAAGACCCAATAATCTTACATGGTAAGAGCGATGGTAATAATAGAGAGTCTAACCTGGTAAGTGAGGCTGACGACTCTTACCTGTGTAAGCGCTTACCAGATATATTATTGCATATGATATCATTTTGATATACTGCAATCTTACCCATAAAATAAATTATAGTGTTGACTCCTAAAGATTAATACTTATCGGGTAAACATTCAGCCCCTAACATTCAATCATAAAATAGAATTCAGATATATTTTAAATATTTTTTTAATTAAGAAATGTTAAAAATTTTATTATCTTTGAATTTACAAAGTACAGAGAAAAATACATTTCAATATTGATATTAGTCACGGTTTTACGTTAGAAAAATGAACAAACTGTCGATTAAAAACCAAACAAATGGTCTTAAAAATAATAATTTAACAAATAAAAAAAGGGGAATTATTAGAAAGAAAAAAGGGAATACTTGGTTACAAGACATTCCCTTGGACACACATATTCCCATCTTTTTTCATACTATATAACCCCTAAATCATCTACCACAAGTTATCAGATTCATAGAAGAAATGGCTAATGCTAAACCCTTGACCCAGAACCAGCCTGCACCGTCACGCTTCAATTTAGTGAGACTCATCGCCATAGTCTTGCTCACACTCATAGTGCTCGTGGGTCTAACCATTCTAATCATCTGGCTAACCATCAAGCCAAAGAAGCTAGTCTACTCCATCGATGATGCCGCTGTCCACAACTACGTTTTATCCAATAGCAACCACTTAAATGCAACCTATTACTTTATCCTCCGAGCATACAACCCTAACAAGAAAGTCTCTATTTACTACGACAAAGTTGATGTTGTTGTCTTGTATGACGATGAAACTCTCAGCACGGGGACTATTGATCCGTTCTATCAGCCCAAAAGGAATGCGACTAGTTTCAAGTTGAATCTTTCGTCACGTGATGTGTCGTTGCCACAACAAATTGCACGAGACATGAAGGTCGAGAGATCATCAGGTCAGATCGAAATGACTGTGAAACTGAAGGCGAGAATAAGATTCAAGGTCGGAGTGTGGAAATCAAGACACTATGGCATGAGAGTAACATGTGCACCTATTATGGTTCATTATTCTTATTCTTCCAAGGGATTTCAAAAGATTTCGTGTGATGTTGATATTTAATTTCGGGGTTAATTTGTTATTTTCTTGAACATGAGGGTTTGTTTTATAACTTTTTTGTTGTTGTTGTCTTTCTATCTTTTCCCCTTTTATTTATGTGGATTTGATTGAATTTCAAGTATTATAATTTGTATGTGTGATTTATTTAATTGAAAATATCAATCGTTACCTTTTTCTATGTTCTTAAGATACTTTTCATTTATAAAAAAAAAATATTTTATTTATATGTATTTTAAATAAGGGTAAATTGCATGAAAAAGTAACGTATTTTAACTTGATTCATATTTTGGGTAACGTACTTTCAAAACTTCCATTTTGGTACCTAAGATGTAAAGTTTTAAACATTTAAGTACCCGGGTAACTGGTTGAAGTATTAACCGGTTATCATACTGAATTACTGATGTGGCGAGTGATGTGGTATCCAACTCGGTATTATTTGTTGACCTAGTCAGTGACATGTATTTTTTTAATCTAAATTTTTTTTAGTCTAAAATTAGTCTTCATTGGGTTACCCGGATACTTAAATGTTTAAAACTTTATATCTTAGGTACGAAATGAAAGTTTTGAAAGTACGTTACCTAAAATAGGAATCAAGTTAAAGTACGTTACTTTTTCATGCAATTTGCCCTTTAAATAAATCATAAGTTATCAATAATTACGACATATAAATTGATAAATAATTAAAAGTTGATTACCAACAACTGTAACCAGTACCACACGAAACCTATTTCTTAAGACAATAATGTGATAGGGCATTTTGTGGCTCATTATGCGGCTAAAACTAGTTGGGGGGGGGGGGGATTGAAATTATGACGTGTCTTGTATTTGGGTAAAATCATATCCTTTTGCTAACTAAGCTATAAAGACATTTTTTGTAATAATCCAAAGCTCAAAGCAACAGACTGACCCACAAATCCAACTTAAAACTATGGTGAAAATTATAGGTAGCCTACAATTTGAGTTTTATAAAAGCGCACAACTTTCAGTTTTCTATCTATGTCGGTCAAGTTGTTACACAAATGATAGACAATTATATACAGGGTTATTTTTATTCCTTTTATTCTTTTGTCATGAGAAGAACATGTTTAACAGTTGCTAAATGGTTTAATGTAGAATAATTAAGTGATCAGAATGATTAAAATTTTTACAATATAATGCAAAAGTAATTGTTTGACAATTGTCCATAATAAAATTAGGGTGCTTAATGATTAAAAGAGATTCAAGATAAAATCATTTAGAGGTTTTTTAGAATCATTGAGAGACATACTTTTTTTTTGCCAAATAAAATTCATTTATTAATGATTCAAAAACTGTCATTAAATGGAACTATTAAAAAATAAACAAACAATTCCTAAATGTTTTTTTGCTAATTTATTTATTTAAAAGCGATCATAATCAATATATTTATGAAAATATTAATACATATTAATATTCTTATAGGCATATCTATACTATATTATAAAACATTTGACAAAAACTCTTAAAAACCTCTTTTTATGCATAAAATATTGTTTATTAATGCATATTACTTAAAACTCAAGATTGTAAGTATATTATGCGTAAGTACAACTTATTAAAGCTTCATATTTGAATTCGTGTAACTAACTGCAGATAAATATAATCAAATACAAGATAAACATTTCATTTTAAATATAAAAATCTAAAATATAATTTGAATAATCATTGAATTCTAACATAATATTTGGTTATTATTTTATGTTATTAAATCAAAAATAAATTATTTCATTATTCAACTTAAATTAAATTATAATCAAAAAATAAATTAAAGAAATTACATAAAAAAATGAGAACTTTTAAATAGTTGATTTGATATTAACATTAATGTATTTTTTTTTTTCAAATTTGTATGATATTTTCAAATTTATATTTTATTCAAAAATAAAATTATTATTATTTTCTTAAAAACACATAAAATCGTATTATAACATTGACGGAAACAAATAATAAAATAGAATCGAGATGTGTCTCACTGTATTACGCGAGTATTCTTATACTAAATAAAAATAAAAATAATAATGTACAACTATTTTGCCTTCTGAAACAAAATCAGTCCTCCATCTTTCTACAAATTACGGAATGAACCCTCGGGATACATTAAGTGTAAGATCACCTTTGACGTTGACACGTCGTTCCCAATCTGCCAGCTTGGCAACATCAGATGGTCCATCAAAAACAAACAACCACCACAATGCGACAAATCACAGGTCCATCTTTTACAAAAGAGACAAAAAGGAAATGCTTTCACTTTAGAAAATCAAAACCACGAATGACGTGGCAAAATCTGTACCATTCATCCCGCCATACTTTCTCTCTTAAACGACCTGAAATACTGTTCCCCATGATTTTGTCACCCGTAGTGTAATACAACTATGCAAGAAATATCACTTATCAACGTGTATCTAATGTGCTGTTTATTAAATGTTTATCTGGATAAACACTTATCAAGTCATATTATTTTATTTGATAAATATTACATACAATATTGTTTTGGTGGACTCAAATCTTACCCAGTATATAACGATAATATTGAATTTTACCAGTAAACGATTACCGGGTAAGTGTTTAGGTAAACGGCTCCTAAGTGTTTTAACATGTTATACAATTTGATTTGAAAATACACTATAATCATAATATGAAAGTTACAGTTATTTAGAGATTGGGTTTTTGTATGCATTGAGTTCTTAAGCCAACCTCTAACGACCTGCTCTGTATGTTGGTATGATATATATCATGGCCAAAACCTGGTCTTGGACTGGGCGGACCCAAATCGGTCCGGGACTGAAATAGTAACAATTCGGACCGGTTCCGGTGTAACCGGTCCCACTCCCGGTCCCGTCGAAAATACTAAAGCCCGGTTAAGGAATTTGTAACCGGTTACGGTAATCGGTCCCGGTTCTGGCCCAACCCGGTCATATATTAAAAATATATATATTAAATTTCTTTTTGATATTTTTAAAAAAATACTTTAATGTTATTCTAATACATTTTAAAATATCTAATTAGGTCAATCAAATACACTTAAAAAATACGTTTTATTGTAGTTTTATAATTAGTTTTCTATCAAATGCACTTAAAAANCACTTAAAAAATACGTTTTATTGTAGTTTTATAATTAGTTTTCTATCAAATGCACTTAAAAATATGTTTCATTTTCAATTAAATACACTTAGAAAGCTAGAAATACATATAAAAATACATTTGTTTGTTAAAAATATATATGAGGACATCCCTTATAATTCCTGTGTATCCATTAAAGTAGATAAACATGCTCGATCCTAACTTTTGTTGTGATTGGAGGTAAAAGCAAAGTAGATTAGTAAAATATATGAATGCTTTTAGAAACATAGTTTAAACTAATAGGTGGTTTGCGACCTTTGAAAATGACAAATAAATAGGAGGAAACACAGTCTTAAATCGAGGCCCATGTTGGGACCCAATTTCTTTAAAACATATTCGCTCCCAACTGTTGAATGTGTTGATTTCCCAAAATACAACGACTCTAAACATAATCAAACTATATTTGACTTTTATCTTCACGCCTTAATGACCGAGCTTTGAAATCTTGCCAAATCTCTTGTGACCATGAAGGTTCACCTCTGATGACTCTATACTCTTATTTTGTGGTCGTCCATGGAATCAGCTGGTGTATGTAAACTGACTTAAAAGTCGGCAGTTATCAAAAACGACTTAACTTTCGATCAAACTAGGATCTTATGTATAATCTTGCTCATAATTTTTGCACACTTTTCTACTATGACTTGGAGCACCAAAAACTTTAAGAAAAAAACAAATAATTAATTACAAAATAATGAGAATTGATTATAAACATGATGAAAATTGAATTATTTGATTGTAACCCACTCATGGTTATAAGAGGGGTTGTTTTAGTTACTGAATGATTTGATACAAAATGATTAAGTGGTTATAATAATCAAGAGGCCCTGATGATATAGTGCAAAATGAAATATAATTGTTTGGTAATTGTTTACAATGAAAGCAGAGCGCTGAATGGTTAAAGGAAACCCATGATGTAAAATCATTCAGATGATTTTAGAACCATTAAGAGACATTTTTTTTTTTGGTCAAACAAGATTCAGGGGTTGTTTGTTTATCTTTTAATAGTTACATTAAGAGAGAACATCTGAATCGTTAAGAGGTGAATCTTTGGGCAAAAAAAAATTCTGCCTTTTAATGGTTCTAAAACCCTCTGAATGATTTTGTATCATGTATCTCCCTTAACCATTAAGAGCCCTGATTTTATTGTACACAATTACCAAATAATTATATTTCATTTCGCACTATATCATGAGAGCCTCTTAATCATTCTGACCACTTAATCATTCTGCAACAAACCATTCAACAATTACCAAACAGCCCCTCACCTTTTAATGATTCAGAGGTTGCCTCTTAATGAAAGTATTAAGAGGTAAACAAACAACTCCAGAGTTACTAGTTAGAAGGTAGTCAAAGTCAAAATAACTAATCAATAACAGATAAAAAAAACAACCATCTTTCTCGACCTTTTAGACCTCCACAGCCACAGGTACCCTACTTTAATATTTTATAACATACATTACGTAGTCTTAAAAATCTTTAAACTAAATGCTAATTGTTTGAACTTTCCAAAACACAAAACCTTTTTATGGGTCCGATATTATTTGTATAAGAAGGTATAATGATTTTAGTCCGTTTAACGATAAGTTGCTATTATACAGAGCCAACCATGGCCCACACCGTAATCATTACACCTACGTATTTAAAAAAAAGGTTTGTATAAACTTTATAATTATTTATATTAAATTGTAATAATGTGAAATCACTTTTAGTTCAAAAACAAATACTAGATACATCGTATTCTTTTCTTCTGCATGATTGCTTTTAAAAAGCAAACAATTGTTTATATAATCTCCAATAATACGTCGTATTTAAGTTGCTCATTCTATTACACACACATATATATAAACTTGGGATCGCATGAGACGAGTCTGTTTTTAATGCGACCCGTGAAACCATTTTTTAATACTTGAAACTTCATAACAAAACACTGTGAATGTTTTTTTTTACCTTCACAGTGTTTTGCTGTGAAATTTTAAATGTAAAATAGTGGTCTCAAAAAAACAGACTGGTCTCAAGTGAACCCAACCATATAT